TAAGTTTTACCGTTCCCTGATAAAGGTTTTGGTGTATATTTCAATATGTAGATTGACTTAAATATAACAATGATTAGTTCAATCCTAGTATCAGTTTGGTATCCTCCAATTCAATATGGCCATGTTATTGTACGCGGATAAAGATAGTGAATCGAATTTCTTACCGTTTCAGATGAAAAAACATAACGGTGGTACATAATCGGTGCTCCTTATAGACGTTTTATATTTTAGACGATAGAGATTAAAACAGATAGGTACCTGTACCAGATGATCTTTGTATTCTACGAACGGATACAACAATAACCTTCAAAAGCTCTCAATTTACTTTATTTTTGCTAAGGATTTGGGACAATAGAGTATAAGCAGGTAGATAGTTCTTACTCGTGTTTCAAGATTTTCAAGCGTTTTTAATTGTTTCCATTAAATATAACAGTTAATACAATATGTTCCTAAAAAAAGTATAAATATTTTTGTATCTATATTATAATTTATTGGAGGCAAACCCAATGCCAGCAGAATTTACTGAGAACAATGTTAATTGTCAACTGTCAGATGACAATTGAAACTTGACAAGCGTGATTGGTACAGCTTTGTGACATTTTAGTAGGTATTTAATATAGGTTGTTGTGTCATTCGACCAGTATTACAAATGCATTGGAAATACTCCGTATTAATAATATTAAGATCAATACTCACAAAAGTCACCTACATTTCATGCTTTGACTGTTTGATTTCGTAGGTAAATAATTTTCTCGAACTGTGAAATTGCAATTTGATCTTGGCTAAGTGACAGAATACTTTTCGTAAATGTGCATTCCCAGCCGGTAAACGTATACTTTGCCAAAATAATTAGCTCACTAAAACTCAATATCCTTTTTCCGGTATTTTGTTACGCTTTTTCTAAATTTTGATCCATGTAGACGTTTATCGATTCTGATACTTAAATAAACTTGAATTATTAATTACTAAACATCTGTTTGGTGATGTAATATCTTTGCTGTACACGTACTATCTAGTTTAGTCAAGGTAATAGAATGTACCAAAGTCTGCAAGGATATGTTCGTACCGTTTTGTTATTGCTGATCAATTGTTTGATATTTAAGTACAGTATTGTAAAAAATAAAGGTTGGCGGCGTGGCATTCAAAGATGATTTTCCTATCTTTGCATTGACTATTTGTGCATACTAGAAACGTAAACATCGTGAGAAACCTGGCATATCTTAGACCCAAAAGTCGACATGTCAGGGTCAGCAATGCTGATAGGTTTAGCTTAGTTGACTGAATGTACTTGACTCTAGTCTTAACTCCTTTCAAACTATATCGTTTACATTGAAATACAATTTGGTAGATACACGCCAAGACTAGATACGTCTCTGAATGCCGGCTTTAGACAAATTAAACAAAAAAGTGTTATATTTTCAAAATTAATAAGAAACAAAACAATGAAGGTAGATACAAAAAAAAATTAAACTTAATTACACCTGCCCTATATTGATTCAGTGTGATCAGCGAGTGGAGGTGCGCATCATTCGTGCTTTAATTATACAATAAAAGTCTTGATCTATTGACAAATATTCAACTAAATATATTACTTACTAATTCTTAAATCGACTTCACTAATTCAAAGTGTAAATGAAACAAAAAGTGAAAAAAATGTACTTCTTGACAGTGATCAAACGATCGTTTAGCAAAATCATAAAAAGAATGTAAGTGCTTTAAACATTATTGTTATTCAAATAAGATTTTATTTGCATGTTAAAAACGCTTGTAAACTAAAAATTAAGATAGTTGATGGAATTTTTTTATGTAAGAATAGGAATTTAATATTATAATAATCAAATATATAGTATTCACAATTTTCTTAACCAACATAGTAATTATAAAAAGGAAATTAAAACAAATTTAAAAAGTTTGGTCCCTGTGGCAGTGTACCTGCATTTCCTCGCTGTATATGCATATAATGTAATATGTATAATAATCATGATCCCTGTCTAAAGTGTCTATTATTATTTTAAATAACTTGTTTTTGAAGCATAGCATAATAATCAGAAGATTATCAAAAATAATTAAGAACATTTATTATATTTGTCTATTTATAAATAAATACTTTGAAATTCCACGTATTCAGTTTGTCTAATATATTGATTAGCTTGTTTTCTTAAAAATAATAATATAAAGAATTTTTCTCATACTGGAAAATTACTAAGCACACAAATTCCTTTATCCATAGACGGTCATGGGCAAATAATTCATACATTTGTCTATATACGGCCAATGTCACATATGCGGAATCTATAATTACATATTTAAACATGCTACAGTAAACTTACGAATTAAAGATTTGTTCCAAATTTATTACTCACAGTTTAGTATGAATCTGGCAAAAACTATACTATATAATTTTATAAGATTTTTTAAAAAGCATTTTGAGGCAATTAAAATTTTGTAAATTGTTTTTTTTTACAATCCTATCATGAATAGGATTGCATCAATATGCAATGAATTATCTTTCATTAAATGTTGAAATTAAAAGTGATTATTAAACGCGTTTCAATTAGGCGAAGGTAATATTTCTACGATTTTTGTCATTCCTTTTATGTGTGATTAACTAATGACTTTTTTAGATTTCAACCAAAAAGTACTTTGTCATTTATATAAAAACTAAATTTAAAAACATAACATTCAATACCAATCCAATCAAGGTTATTAAAGGAACTAATTTTGTACCTAATTAATAGTATACGGGCGAGTATAAAGCTATAACACACTGTAGCAATTATAACTTAAATAGATATTAACGCGATATTAACACAGTTACGTTCTATCAGAACTATTGACTTGTTTATAAACTGATAGATAGTACATACCATCCCAAATATTAATTTTCTAATAGATTTTGCAAAGGATTCTTCCTTAAAAAATATTAACTTTATAAAATATAAAAACCATAAAACTTTTAAGTTTTCTAGAATTATCGGGAATATGTTAGTATTTATTTAAAAAATGAATTTATCTTAATTTTTTTACGAAATTAATTTCCAAATTTACAAGTAAGTTAGTATACATGAAATATATTATATTTTTAATTTTACAATACAATTTTAAATAATTAAACATTATATTTCCCGTTAAACTATATACGATTTCAGAATACTAATTAATTTCCGGAATACCAATTTCAATTTGCACAAAATATTATCATAACAATCCTTTACGATGTGTGTACAGTACACATAGTTAAAGGATTGTTAATTCTCGAAAATCCGCTTAAATGTGTGTGTGTGATTAACCATAGATAACATTACGTTTAGCTGTCAGTTGCATATTGTGTTTCTATGCCCGACTTCTGGTTCTACCTGCGCGCCCATTTTCATCCAAATCGTTCAACCGTTCTTGAGTTATAAATAGTGTAACTAACACGACTTTCTTTTGTATATATAGATGATGTAAAAAATTTTATTCTGTCCCAGCCCTTACTTATACGAATAAATTTGATACTTAAACAAATAAGGTATCTCGAAGCCCTATTAGGCATTTCTTGGTCAAACTAGTTATACTTGATATGAAATGTTTCTTTATGACTAATTTTACAACTGTTATTTAAACATAAGTAATGTTATACGTTGAATAAGTTCATGGACTGTTATTTTATATCTGGTGAGTTTTCACTGTTACAAAACCCGCTTAAAAATAAGCATATTTTTCCCATGTTAATTGTCATATTACATATTGTCCTAAGACTTCATACGTAATTGACGCCAGTATCGAGCAATTAAACGTTATACAATGGGCTACCAAGGTCCCCTGTTGGTTGGATTGGAGCCAATTTTTGGTGTCTGGATAGTAGATCGTATATTTTCGTTAGTATTTAAAGAGCAGTAAATCTTCGTAGCGTTTCCTAAAAGCGTTTAATGTAAGGTAGTATAAAACAATTGTTTAAATCAATTTAGGCAGGTAGATATTGTTAGACCCGGATTTAGAGTAAGGAAATGTATTGAATTTAATAAAAAAAATAAGAATTGCCGTCTCGGTAGCTTAGTTTGACAGGCGGATTATCCGAAGGTCCTGAGTTCGATTCTGCGAAACTTGTTACGAGCTGAACTCACCTACTATTATAAAAAATTCAAAGTCACAAAGACAAATGTATATTGCTTTATATATCTTTTAGAATATCGGATAAAAAACCTATAATCAATATATAAAATCTATCACTGGTTTAAAACTATTAAATTTTCTATATATTTTACGCTCCACAAACGACGATTTACGTTGGCTACTATCGTCAGCTCTCGTAAAATTCTGTTTATCTAAGAGTCGTATATCTATTGTTAGTTTAAAGCTTATCTAAGTTTTTTAAAAACGGATATTTGAACATTGCTCGATGGAATCATTCATGTGGTAGTAATAGGGTGAGTTTTTATAATACATACATCCATAGTTTATAATTTATATGTGTAATTTATTCCAAAAGTTATGTAGAAAAGTAGGTTATAATAGAGTGGGATTCAGAATTCTAGTAAATATTACTCGTAATTATGTCCCTGTGGTAGCTTGTTGCCGGATACGATTAGCAATACGCATAACACCGTTCATATTATTTAATCTTCTTAAGTAATCAACACAAAAGGTGGTAGGTCTGACGTCAGATTCTCGCTAGACGTGAGCTTCGTGTCCTCGTATGAGTTTCGCCAACTAGAAAGTAACGAAGAAATAAGTTTTGAAACTTGTTAAAAGACTTTCTCTAAGAGACATTAATTGTAGAGACAATTTCACTATCGTATCCTGTCTATTACGTCAAAATGCAACTGTCAATTGTCAAATGTATCTTAGCAAACATTGTTTTGTTTTGGCGCCTTTGTGCCGCACAATTGTTCGAAAAATATGGAAACCTCTACACAAACATGACAGACTTTGAAACAATGTAGCGATTTGTAATACCATGCGAGACGAATCTTTTAGGTGACAATGACGCAGATTCTGAATTAAAGTATCTCTGTTATTCAGTTCATAAGTGTTATTTGGTGCTCCGTGACCGCGGAGGGCTTTCGCGTAGCGAGGTCGAGTCCCCATATTATGGCAATGAGGTAACGGGAGAGGTGCGTACTCAGTCGCCACCCACCGCTGCGCCGCGCCGTGCGAGGCGTGGTGTCGACGCCAGTCAAATACTCACGCTCGCCATCGGCGGTATGAAACCCGCCGGCTGATCGGCAGTCTGCGCCAAAACGTGCCGGGACTCGAGCGTCGAACTGCCGCCCAAACGAGCTCGTGTCTAGTGTCTGTGCCCGCCTTTCGATGCTCTTCGCTCCGATCGCCTTAGAGGCGATGAAGTGTAAAGAGGAAAACTGCGAAGTCGGCGTGTTGCTTGGACACAACTCTCTGATCGTGCTCTCTGTTGACAAGACCATTGTCTGCCTTTGCGGAAGGAACAAACACAATCCTTTTGAGCGCGGGTAATTGTCTTGTTTGCTTCATGATAGGGAACGAAATACCAGAAATGCTTAACAAATTGATACATTTTATTCAACTTCATGTACAATTCATTCGCAACACCCGTATGCACCAAGGTTGACTTCTAGCTGGTCAAGGTAAATTCCACGTATCACTCGATATTTGCTTGTGAACAGCATTGCCATATACTTTTTAAGTCAAGGAATACAGAATATTTTATTTTAATCGATTTAACCTAACCGATTTATGTTGAATGTAAAAATAAAACTTCAATTTAACTTTACAATCTATTTAAAACCGGACAATGGTATTGAATGAGTCAGAATATCGAGCAAAAAGTTTGTTCTTAAGGAATAAGATATCAACAAAACGGATCGATATCCGTTCGTTCAAGGTCTAGGTCAAATGTCCAATTTCACTTTGACCATTTCCCTAACCATAATATTTTCGTATACAAGAAACACAGCATTTTTATCCATCCTTACATATCCGCCTTCGCCTCTTTCTGTCGAATTGTGTTTCTGCTGTAATGAAAAGAGATAAGTTTAGTTACGACGTTGCAATTAGATTGATTGGTATCAATAAGGGTATTATAATGGTGTGAGACCTGGCTTCAATTCGTAGAATTCCAATTAATTCATTTTTGACTAGTGAGAAGTTCCCACAATCTACGCCATAAAGTTTATATTACACCTTGGTTCAGATTCATAAACATAAGAACACTGTATAAACAAACCTCAAGAGAATACGAGTGAGGCCAGAAGATAACAATTTAAATAATTATCATAATCACCATAGGGATTATAATGTAGTAATGTAAAGATAAATATCTATTTGACCTCACTCTTAAATTATTTTTTCTGAACCAAATTAAGTTAACCATATCATCTTTGTATTAACTCCCCTTTCGTAATGAAATTTTTAAAACTAGAAACATGTTAGTCAAGTTGAAGATATTCTATAATCTTTTGACGTGTTCGTTGTATACCAAAATAGAATGATAGCTATCTAATTTAACGACTACATCTATTTTACATACAACATATGGATAGGATTTTTAATGTGTCGCCAGTTTATTAAATTTTAATTTCGTGTTTCGAAATTAATAAAATTCAAAGAGAAATCGGACTTTATCTTCTAAATCTTTCGGTTGTATTTTGCCTGCCTTTAAATGTTCTACCTTATGAAAAGACTATTCTACTACATTAAGAACTTATTGATCGCAATCAGAGATGCCATTAATTTATGTATCAAGCTCTCGATAACTACTATTAAAATTGTACCCCTATTGACCCTTATATTAATATTGACGTCAATGCCAGATCTTGGAATATTTTTCGGTTAGTTTTTATTAAATTTTTCTAGAACATAATTCTGTCACGTAGATTCCTATTATCTTATGTTTACTAAAAATTCAGTCGTATTGAACGTGATGTTCGTAAAAAATTTATATGGGAAACACCGATAGCCTCTGATTGACGTAAGTAAAGGTCAATCGAAATATGTTTCTACCTTTTTATCTTAATTAGTTCGTTTGATAAAATAGGTGTGTTGTTGAGCCAATTTTCATATTTATGTTTGACATACTGGATAGAAAAATGTTTAAAAGAATTAAGTATACTTAGAGTATGAAACGCAATGTTATAACGCATTAGCTGTAATAGGTAATTAATTAAAAATTATTATATAATAAAATGACTTTTTTTATAGAATTATCATGATATTCTTAAGCAATCCCATAATTTTAAGATAAAAGCGTGGCACTGTCAACGCAGATGACACAATACTACCCAGAAATTATTAAAACGCAACATGGAATGAACGCATCCTCTATTATATTGCATTATACGTGAAACCAATTGAAACGTGCCTAGTCAACTCAAAACATTAATTACAAGCGTAAATTGCCAAAGACTGTTTCAAACAAAGTAAAAAGTTAAGTCATTATATACGTTGACGATATCCTCTAGACATTTTCAAGGGTAACAACTTATAATGACTTACTACCTGTGTTTTTTTTCCACAAGTCAAAGGCCCGTAGGCTCGCTTGAGCGGGAACTAAGGGCAATGTACCTTGCCATCTCCCTTGCCCTGCAACCCTACTTTGCCTTTTCAAGTAGAACATTCTAAATACACGCCTCTCTTACTCGTAAACGGGAACACAAATAAAATAGAGAGAGATGCAAAAAATATTGTTAGTCGCGTTGATCCATAGACCCAGCTGGCGTGTACTGGGTACGAGATTTCTCTATATTTTTATTTTACGGACTTTGAACTCAGTTTGATGGTGAAATGTGTATGATATTATCCCTTGCGTACATTTTATCATCAAAATCAATACGGGCTCGTCCGATTACCTACTTAGATGAAGTGTTCGAGGCGTGACTGTTATTGAAGCCATGTTTGATAAAACTATGCTTTTAGATATGTTCTATTTAAGTTTGTTGTTAGATCTAAGTTATAGGGAGTATAATAATTTTTCTTTAGTTTTCAACTTTCTAATATATTGTATTTTCATCGGTTACCACGCAAGAATATGTGTACTGTGTTCGAGGCCGTTAATTATTTCACTCACAGCTGTCTAGGCAAAGAATGTGTAGCACTAATTGCAGATATATAATTAACACGTGTAACCCACACGGCTAGCTGCTTAGAAAATACATGGTATAAATCTTTATCACTAACTGGGAATATCGAAAGTCGATCCATGCGTCAAGAAATAAATTCGATTGTATTATGGGAGTAGACCATTCGATAGCATTGAGTGTTCGTTGGTTTTCGCGGAAAACAGCGAAACCGACGTACCTTCCCCTTCACCCGCACCCCGCCCACCCTTTCAGCGGCTGGCGCCGCGTCAGAGGCGAACGTATAAAAGCCATCGCCGCCCCTCCACTTCAACTCAGACGCATGGAGTACTCCGTAGAGGTCGTTTGGCACGAGCGAGCGCTTTGCTAGGCACCTGCCGGCCATTCTTCACGATAACATTCTAGTCACCGCGCAGCTGAAGCTCGCATAACGCGGCCTACCGCGCGTTCCTAGCAGCAGTGATAGTGCAATAGCTCTACTTAATAAAATATTGTGATAATTATTTAATTAGTTCTTAGTTAAGCGTTGTTCCGACCGCGATACGGCTGTGAGTGAAATTGTGAAATGTTGTGACTGCCCGACTGGAACTTATTGCCTGTGATCCAGCCCAGTGTATTCAGTTATTCTTGCGTGGACTCTTTTGATACCATGGTTGGGAATAACGGTACTATGATGGCGATTCGCATCGTCCACAGTAAGCTGCGCAAGAGGGAAGAGCACTCGGCTTCAGTACACCCAGCTGAAGCTGTGCTCCAGGCCTCTGCGCCGCACCCGCCGCCCGAGCCTCTTGCCTTCCGCCAGCAGCCTCTGTGGCAGTTCCCACCACCGCTGCCTCCGTCTTACGTCTATCCCCATGATCAGGTTAGTAAATATTCTTAGTTTACCGATTACTGAATTTCCAAAACATGAATGATATTTTTGAATTAAACTAACAACGGTTACATCAGTTATACTTGACCCCGTTTCAAATTTAGCGCGCAATAGTTATGTTTCCAGTTAAAAGTAGTTTCAAATAACAATATGGAAAGCGTGAGCATAATTAATAGAAACGTGACGGGACCGTCCCACGCCCCACTCTAGTGAGAGTCGGTTACACCACGAACACGCAGCGTCTAAGTGCAAAGTAAATTTAAATGTCGGGACACGCTTACTGAGTAGAAAGCTGCACAAGGCGAACATGTTGTAACCGTTCGACCTTCTTTCCTCAAACAAAGGAGACTAATACAACAGCTGCAGTAGCATATCGTAAAACTTTAACCTAAATATCACGGTCTGATTCCTATATTGAAACAATTGAACGTTCAATTTAACTGTTTAAAAAACTCAAGACCACCCATATTGTAACGGCACAAGGAAGCAAAGAATGCTAATACAGCTGTTATATCGCATTCAAGGCTCGACTCACAACACGTATGGCCTCAGTGATTAGTTGCCAGCTTCCTACATATTACCACTTATAAAATATTTCATATGCCCGTTTCACGTTAAAGCTAAGATCCTAAATATACAAGCAAAACTGGTCTTGAATAGAATGTGTCTGGAATGACGCTTAGTAATAATATTTAACGTATACAAGATGGCCTTCTGTCTGTAGTTTTGTTTGGATGGCAACCGTCGTGTTGCTTTAAATATCTTGAAGAGGGCATTGTGTAACTGGAAGTTGTTTCTACTGCAGTGCAAATGCACCTATAAATGCATTGGGGACGATAACGGAACAGTTAGCCGCTAGCGGGTTATTGTACGGGTGTTGAATTTTAGGAATTACCTTTCGTTTCGTGCATTGTTTTCACTGGGCCTTGGCTTACAATAAACTCAGACTAATACTTACGACTCTTCCTAGAAATTTTCGTCCGCACCGGTTCTACATTGTATCTAATTTTTTTTGTTTCTCTTTCCAGGACAACTTGATGCAGCCGATCGGTAATGAGCGAGCGAGTTTCCGCAGTCTACGTAAGAATATTGGCGGTCGTTGGAAGAGATTAGTAAAGAAGAAGCCCGAACAAGAGGTCTACACTATTCCACCTGAGCTCAAACCTCAACTGAAGCAAATATACGTTTATTAAGCACCTATACAATAGCACAGAAGCAGGAATCTTCGTCGCTGATATTAGCGATTCTATGAACTTCGTGGTTGTCAGAAATTATCCAAGTCATATCTTACTCGAATATCAAATGTTAAGTCGTCACGGCTCTTTAAACATATCTTCTTGACCAATTGTTTCTTGACCAATATTAGTAGTCTTCTTTCAGCACTTCATTGTGATGTAAAGTCTAGATGTATTAATAAGTATTAGTGCATTGAATTCTGCGAGTGTTGTTCTGTTGAGTAGAAAGTATGTGTGATAGTCAAATGATTTAGTTTAATTAATTTAAAAGTTATGAATGAACTTAGAAAAATGCGGTCGCGCATAATAGTGACGAAAATCCAATAATTATTTTAGAAAACCACGATGCCTTGTTAATGTAATTTTTGACTAATTAGGGCATTTTGTAGAACATTAACTTATTTTTAGACGTGATCGTATTCATAGGCGAAAATCGATCAAATAGTTTTCGAAGTTATGTATACAGTTGTATTTTAACTATATCGGTGGAATGTCTGAAAATATAATTGTTTGATTCAGTATTTTATGTCTCTTAATGCGAGTCTGAAAGTGGTACAATTTGTAACGTAACATTGAAATGAAAATATTTCTATGATATTATAATGTCTATATAATCGCAATCGTTTCGCTAAGAAATACCTAATAGTTGTAAAAGTTGCGTTACTGGATGCTTCGGTAGTGTAATTTTCAGATTTTCGCCGGGTCTTTGCCTACTGTGATATTCAATGAAAATAAATAATTTGATGATGTTTTTGAGTTTTCTATTGAACCTTGTCAATTATATATCAGTGGGAAGGACCGTCGGTGGATAATTGTGATAGCTCATATTGAGCCTGATATTCTGATTAGTAAGTTTAGGTACAACAAAGCCATGATTATAATATTTTGTTTTCATTAGAACTGTTGCGATGGATGATAAAGACGTTTATATTAACTACATTTATGTTTGTTTAAATGCTATAATCTATTGACATAGTGAGAAATAAATTCCATCTATAAATGTGACCTATCGTTTTTTTTCTAGTTTAAGAATTACATTTAAAGTTTTATTTAAGTTCATGGATAACACGAAATATGAAGTAATCAATTATTAATATAAAACTGTTTAAACGCTTAAGTATCATCGTTTATTTCTGTGATTATAAATAATTAATTGGATAATTCAAACGAGCAATGAGGTTTCATATTGGGGTTTTAGATAGGTCTAGTTTAATAAATATTTTCAAAGAGATGGCGCTGATTTAATTATAAATCTGTATAATAACTGGCATTGTAGTAGTGTAACATACCGCAGATAGATGGCGCTGTAATCTGTTAATGTTATTTTAATATACATTTGATAGATGTCACTTACACATAATTACAGTGAAATGCCATCTACGTAATACTTTACAAAGCTGTAACATTTTAGTTGAAATATTATTTATAGCTTCTTACTGTAGATGGCGTTAAATTTATATTAATAATAATAATAACGTTAATACATATTACAATTTCTTATAAATTTGTAAATTAAATAAACAATTAGGTATGTAGCAATAGTTAAGTTTAAATTGTACAGTAATATATTTTGAAACCAGTTATATTTTGAGCTTTTTTTTGTCAATAGAAACAAATGACCAAAAATATAGCACTAGAAATTAATAGCTACCAAATTTATTTCCAATGCAATAAAACAATATATAAAATTATAGAAGTTTTATGAAAACATATAGTATTATGTACAAGTATAAAACGCAAATAATTAAACAGTGAACCTCATTACAGGATAGTTGAAATTAAAAGAGCCCGCATGTCTCAGACCGCAAACCACTACCCTTTGTAAGATTAGCCAACCCTTCTGAGTTCGGACGGGTTTGTATTATGCATTTATAAGGGCAGGTCGTATCATTATCATTATATTACTAATTCTAATGTAAATTCAAAAATCTTTAACGAAGGTATAAACCTGTTTGAAGTTGCCGCCTCATTGAGGAATTTCCATGGGTATTCATTCATGGTGTTGTTTATGGTAAGTAGTTAGGCTTTTTTAATACTGTGTCTTTATAATATATAATAACTAATGTTCTCAGTTATTATATATAATAACTAGATAGACTAATACTTAAGAATTATATTTATTTTTGTATGCTATGTATATTGATTTTTTATGATACACATAAAAAAATCAAAACAAAAAATTTCATCTTAAAAATAAAAATAAAAATTTAGGGGTTTTGAAAGATAGATAATAGCTTATTCTCAGACTTACTGAATATGCATAAAAAAATTCATAAGAATCGGAGAAGTATACATTTAATGACACGAGAATTTTATATATATTAGACGATCAATGCATCTTGGAATGTATTCTAAATATACATGTTTTTTATTTATTTTTTGTACAAATAGGTAAAAAATGTTGACTGTGCTTTATTTATGTTTGAATGTGTATTCCGTTTTTGGTGTGTATAATGTAATAGTTTGGATATTGTTTATTGAGTAGCTGTAAGAATACTAATGAACAAATAAATAAATTATTTCGTACATCTTTTTAAGAGTAATTGATAACGGTTTTGATGTTTTTGAAGTATTATAAATCGATTTTGTAAATTGAATGACACCAATTGCGACGGCGCTGTTACAACGAAGATTTACAAACTTGTTATTCTCTGAACTAAACTTATGAAAGAAAGACGTACTCTATAAAAACAAGATCTGGTCCTCAGATTTCAGTAGGTGATCAGCCTTCTGTAGCTGACACACACCAACTATTTTGGGTCTCAAACATGGCGATTTTCTCACAATGTTTTCCTTCACCGCAAGTGTTAAATGCGTACATATACAGAAAGTCCAGTTTATGTTTCGTTTAAAAACCGAATCTAACGATTTAATGAAACAAGTTCTACTTGCGCGTATTCACGAGAATCTTACCCAGGCGTCAGACTATCTATTGGCTGATAAATTCAATCGCCGTATCGTAAAATTACTTTTGTTAGTACGTGACTTGAATTGGCGAAAACTTAAAAGAAACCCTTCGGATGCAATGAAGCTTCGTCTGTCCGTGAAAAGAGGGTTGACAAGCAATCGATTGGCGAACATACGGAAATGCTAACCGCAGCAGTGTTGTAATATTTCGGCACAAGCATAATTGTATTGTAAAACATGGAGAGGAAGAACTAAATCAAAAGAATGGCAACTACTCAGGCACAGACAGCTGATCCGTCAGAGATTATGACGAAACGAGGGAAATATTGGAATTGGTAATCAAAATAGTTTCTTTGATACACGTAAAAGACACTAAATGGTTTGTACTGTATACGCGTTTTAAAGTAATCATCATGCTCTGGTGTTCGATAAGTGTGTATCATGGAGCTGCAGCGGTAGAATGCTATCGTGAACGGTATACGAGCAAGACTGGACAACTTTAAATCGATAAAAAGTGCTCTACAACTGTTAGTATTATATTGAATATAAAATGTTCTCTACTGTAGAAAGCCAGTCAATTAATTTCTTCTATTTACTTAAGAAAAGAAAAAGTAACTTTTTCAATTAATTGTACCAAGTTACGAATTCCATTTCACCGTCGAAATAATTCAATAACGTGGCGCTCAATAAATTCATTAAAATGCAAAAATCAATTCAGTTGCGATTAATATTTACAAAACCATGAATAAATATTAATGGGCAGGAAATATTACGAAAGTTTTTAATGAAAGAATTCTTTGGAAAGGTCCAATTTCTTTACCAAATTGCCATAATCTATTTACAAAATTACGAAGTTGAGACGTGCAAGAAAGTAATGTTTAATGCGATACATTTTTTGTTGTCTGCTTTTTAGTCAGGCTTGTTGGACAGTCACGTCTGACTTACATAATTTCTGAATACATTAGATAATTAGGTATAGTTTACGTAGACTTGAGCAGTGTTGGCCTAGTGGCTTCAGCGCACATTGTATTACAAGCACGGACAGTGACGGCATGTGGGAAATCCTCCAGAGATTTGCCGAGGCCTTCATATGCCATAAAGAAGAGGGCCAGGGGGGTCGATTCCGCAGCCCATCCGCGTCGCTGTTCCATCGTGCAACGCGTTGTGTAATCCTGGGCACGCAGACGAATCAGCGGGGGAATAGGGGTTCACACGTCCAAAGGAATATGCCGACACGTTCTTGCAATTATTGTACTCGATATCCCTCAGCTCTGACAAATGAAATCAGGGGGATTGGAGTATGTGAGTATGGCCTTTGTGCCAAGGTCCATTTCACATTATTCACGGCCGTAGCCGGCCGTAATATCAGCGACTATTCGCGTGGCGGGATGCGTACTAGGCTGCACTGTGACCGTGACCGTGGCAAAGCAGCGAGTCCCACATAACCCTCCACCACGAAGGGAGTCGTGCCGCGGGAGAGTATGCGTAACGACCAACGGAAAAAAAGTGGCTTCAGCGTGCGAATCTCGAGGTCGTAGGTTCGTATCCCGGCTGTGCACCAATGGAGTTACTGTCTAAGTGCGCATCTAAGACTTGCTCGAACAGTGAAGAAAGTCATCGTGAGGAAACATGTTTTAAGCTACGGTTTCCTAGAAAAGCGTTGCCGTTATCTAACAGTCGGAATGTGACTTTAGGTGACGTCACCCATACGTTGTCTATAAAATATATCATCGGAGTAGGTTTTCTAGAGAACGTTGAGTGCCACCGTAACGTCAAATAGCGGTGCTGTCATTTGCATGACGGCCGTCATAGCGGTGATAAAAAGTAGTTCAACGTTTTTTGCGGTTAGCGGTGCGCATATTTAATTAATAAAATTACTTAGACGAGCGATGAACAATTAATTGATTTTGTTAAAAATCATGAAGCTTTGTACAATATCAAATCATGTTACACGTATCACGGTTTTTGAACATGACACTCTCCTCCAAACGCTTTTTTCGTCTTCTGATGTCTTCATCATCCAAAAATACTAACAATGCTATGCCCAAATC